TAGACAACAAATAGTCTGGGGACGTTTTTGTTTTAGTATGTTGTGACTATTTGGGGGGTATGTTTGGCTGTTCTTTGATGTGTCCTTCAAAATCCGCCTGTTGGAGGCCCGACCCGAGTCTTGAGCGCCCCCCGCGAACGCGCGGCGCGGCCGAGCCGACCCAGCTCCCGGCCCCGGCCCGGCCTGCGGAGGCCGCCGGCGCCGCGGCGGGCGGGTCGTCCCCGAAGCCGAGGAGGTCCATGGCAGGGGCGGGAGCGGGGGCCGGCTTGTCCTCGAGGTGGGGGGGGGCCTCAGAGACCACCACCTCCTCCTCCTCCTCCTCCTCCTCCTGCTCCTGCTCCTGCTCCTCCTCCTTATCCTCCTCGTCTTGCAGGATCAGCCCCTCCTCCTCCTCCTCCTCCTCCTCTTCCTCCTCCTCCTCCTCCTCCTCCTCCTGCTTCTCCTCATCTTGCAGGATCACCCTCCTCCTCCTCCTCCTCCTCCTCCTCCTCCTCCTCCTCCCTCCTCCTCCTCCTCTTCCTCTCCTCTTCCTCTTCTCCTCCTCCTCCTGCTCCTCCTCCTCCTCCTGCTCCTCCTCCTCCTCCGCCTCCTCCGCCTCCTCCTCATCATCCTCCTCCCCTTCTCCTTCTTCTCTGCCTCTTGTTCCTCTTCTTGTTCTTCTCATTCTCCTCCTCCTCCTCCTCCTCCTCCTCCTCCTCCTCCTCCTCCTCCTCCTCCTCCTCCTCCTCCTCCTCCTCCTGGTCCTTCTCGTCCTTCTCGTCCTCCTCGCCGCCCTCCTCGTCCTCCTCGTCCTCCTCGTCCTCCTCGTCCTCCTCCTTCTCCTCCTCCTCCGCCTCCTCCTCCTCCTCCTCCTCCTCCCTCATCCTCCTCCCTGCCACTCCTCATCCTCTTCATCCTCGCCATTTGTTTCGGCCTCCGTGAGCCTGCTCCAGGCCCTAGGACTGTCAGGAAGCCATCCGAGAGACACAAACACCGAGGAATGGGTTTTGCGGCATCTGAGAGCTCCTTTCTCCGAGGCGGTGACTTATCCAGATCTCCGACTCGGGCTCAAGACATCCCGATACACAGCCTGCCGAGTTCTCCGCAGAACGATCCACCATGCGGTGGTGATGGACAGTAGGAGATCGGCCACAAGACACCTTCCACAAGAAACCCATCCCTGGAACCCCAGGGCGTCCATTGATTGATTCTTGTGGGGGAACGTCACGCTTTCCATAGCAACACCATCGAAACCCAAGAAACCCTGGAGACAAGCAGGGTGTTTCTTGACATGGGCTTCCACTGTACCCCAGCGTCGCTTGCACCCGCAGGGTAGAGTCCGCACGAGGTCACAGACAGGAATCGACGATGAGTCGCCGACGCCATCGGCGACAGGGCCCCCGTGGGCGAGACTGCGCGTTCTGCGGCAACTCATGGGAGCCTCGCATACCATCTCGTTGGCTGACGCAAGTGCCAAAGATGGAATTACGAGGACATGCCTTGCTGGAACGAAAGGAGACGAGGGTCGCGCGACCATTGAACCTCACCACGGCGTGACTAGCAGAGTAGCGTGACACAGACGATCACGAGCCAATGAGGTACACTACGCGAGCCGGCCTGTCACAGGCAAGCCCAGGCGAGGACATACAAGGTGAGGGGCAACGGTAGAGGGGGGACTGGAACAGGGGGAGAGACATCGACCTGTGATCGGCGATACATCGCCGATAGATCGGCGATAGGCCTCCGATAGCAAAACTGCATCTTTCTGGGCGGGTGGGGCTATCGGGCCACTGCTGGCGATCAATGGGCGATTGGGGGTCGATGCATCCCACCCTATGCCTCCCTCTATTGTTGCCCCCGACAAGGCTCACATGATTTGCTACCGAATGCGCGCGCGCGCAGGCAGCGCGGGAGGCCCGTGCTAACCTCCCCCAGGCCCCCGCGAAAGTGCGGGGGGGGGCCCCGCGTGCGCGAGCGTGGGCAGCGCGGCGATCGCCCTGGGCTGTTCTGGTGGGGCCTGAGAAGGCCAGCCGGGAGTGCCTGGGGGAGGGTTGCCTGCGCGCAGCCCAGAGCCTCACCACTCCCAGGTGGCGACATCCGAACCCTACCCCCACCAACCATCGATCTTCGTGAACCGATTGGAGGCGGGGGCAGGGCTCGGATTTCGCCACGTGCTCGACGAGCTCCGAACCCTGCCCCCGCCGCCCATCGTGAAGGGGAACTGGAACACACAAATAAATACACACAAATACAAACATCCCCATATTTTCTCATATTTTCTGGGTTTTTGTCTTCCCTCCCACTTCCCATATTTTCCCATATTTTCTGGGGAATCGAGGATTATTTGTGTCTGTGTGTTTCTTTCCCTCCTGACATCGGGTTGCCTGAATCTCGTTGATCGGCGAGGGTAGGGCTCGGACTTCGCCGCCGGCCCCTCGGCCGGTCACAGCCCCTGTCGTTCCCCATCTGCTGGCACGTCCGAGGCAGGAGGAGGATGAGGAGGAGGAGGAGGAGGAGGAGGAGGAGGAGGAGGGGGAGGAGGAGGATGAGGAGGAGGAGGAGGAGGTGGGTGCGGCAAAAACGGGCACGCTGCCCAGCAGCAGACGTCGTCCGAAACCAGCAGCGGCCGCTGCTGGGCAGGCGACCTTGCGACTCAATCGACACAACGTCCGCGGCGACGCCGACCGCGAGCTCAGTTCAAGATGGGCAAGAAACACTGTCGATCTCTGTCGCTATTGGAGGCAGCCCGGGGGTCTGAGCTGGCTTGGCCCCTAGAAAATTAATCAAGACGGGGGCACGAAGCCAAATCCGATCAAAATCGGTGCCTGGACCCCTCCCGAGGTCCATCTGGTGTAGCTTCTCACCCCAGATATGTTTGTAACGGTCCCGAGGCCGAAAACGGCCCCCGGAGACCAAAAAAGGCAACACAAAACGCATCGAGCCCAGAACCTCGAACCTGACCGGCCCTTCCTGGTGGCCAGAACCAGTGCGTGGCCTCCTCAGACCCTCAGCCGACTCCAATGTCCCCTTTTCTACGGCAGGGACCGGCCTTCCTGGCATCCCTATAGGCCTGCCACGAGATGCGATTAAAACCAAAGGAAATATTCTAAGAGCAGAAAGCCAGAAGTGGCCGCCCTCTGAGCTAGAGGAACAAACAACTGCATAAACATAAAGTTTCGCATTTCTTGGATCTGCGCTGGCACTCCCTCTCTGGCGCGCGGAGCGCGCCAGGGGCGGCGCTGGAGGCGCCGCAAGGGGGGCTCCAGCACGGATCCAAAAACTCGGCGCGGACCGTCGATTGATGGCTACCTACACGACCGCCCTGCGGGCGATAAGGAGGTTGGGGGGGGTGGATTGAGATCAAATGCCCACCCTGACTGACCTCCAGCCTGTCACCTTGATCTCATATCATATATGTGTCTCTCTCTCTCTCTCGCCCTCTCTCTCTCTTTCCCTCTCTATCAGAGTCTCCCTCCACCATAATGATGATCGCGATGACGATGAGATCCAACTATCTACCTATCCGTCGAACGACCTATCGGTGAATCTCACTGTCGATCTCACTATCGACCTCAAAAGCAAAATGAGAAATCCCGCCGCAGGCGCCGAAAAACGATTTGTTGTCGGACAACCACAGGACAACCATCGGCACAACCACCAGACAACCATCAGGATAATCACAAGACAACCACGAGACAACCATCGCATACTAGGTAATCTGGATTGGATAAGAAAGCTGGATTGGATAAGAAAGCCCGCCGCAGGCGCCGACAAAAAATGTATTGATGGATTGGGTTGGGTGGATTGGATTGGATGGGATAAGATGGATTGGATCAGATAAGATGGGTTGAATTGGAAGAAATGTATTGGATCAGATAAGATGGATTGGATTGGCCCGCCGCAGGCGCAGAAGCAAATGAATTGATGGATTGGGTTGGGTGGATTGGATTGGGTGGGATAAGATAAGATGGGACAAGATGGGTTGGATAAGATAAGATGGACTGGATTGGACAAGATGGATTGGATAAGATAAGCTGGAATGGATAAGAAAGCCCGCCGCAGGCGCCGAACAAAATGAATTATGAAATAAGCGACATGCATTAGCGCCGGGACGCCCGGGACACCCGGGACACCCGGGACACCGCCCGGCCCAACTGGGACACCTCCCGGCCACCGGCGGACGGGAAACGGACTTTCGCTCCTACTGACACCCGGGACACCCGGGACACCGCCTGGCCCAGCTGGGACACCTCCCAGCCAGCGGCGGACGGGAACGGACTTTCGCTCCTACTTCGGCCTAGCTACAGGAGGATCACGCGCAGCTTCGCCTCGCCCGCACGCACGACACGAACACGAAACCAAAGCCGATTTCCCGGCGGGGGGTCTCCGTTTCACTGCGATCTCACCCCCCAACCTCCGATACCTCGGACGAAATTCCGCTGAGCATCAACTTGACCCCCACCCCACCCCGCTCTCGCCAGGTACCCCAAATTCGGCCTCAGGCAGGAACCGTTCGAATCAAGTGCATCATGTGGTGAGAACGCAAAGGGAGCCGTCTGCTGGCATCCTTCGTAGAAAACTGGCATCCCATCCTTCAGATGGTGAAAACTGGCATCCCATCCCAACCTCCGATGCCGCCTTTTGCTCTGGGACCACATCTACTCGGACCGCCCCGTGGCCCCGCCCACGTCGGGCGGGTGGCACTGGGGGGGGACCTAAATGTGGGATAAAGAAAAGAGCCCTCCATGGAGCCCTTCTGGTGCCAGCAGGGGCCCAAAAGTGGCCCTGAAGGCCCGTGTAGGCCTGATCGGCAGATCTCCAGGAGAGGGAGAGAGAGAGAGAGAGAAAGAGGGGGGGGAGGGAGAGAACAGTATTCACATTCTGTAGCTGTGGAAAGGAGGAGGAGGAGGAGGAGGAGGAGGAGGAGGAGGAGGAGGAGGAGGAGGAGGTCGGCCCCCATTGCCACCCGCCTGATCACTGGGCGCCGGCCTGCGCCCCGGCCTCGGCGGCCGCGGGCGCGGCCGCGGGCGCGGGCGCGCCGCCGCCCCCGAGGCGCGCGAGGCGCGCGGCGCGCATGGCCTCCACGGAGTCCACCGCGCTGCCGCCCGTCGCCTGCGCCGTGGAGGGGGGGAGGAGGGGGGGGGGAGTGATGGGCCAATTTCCCACCACCACTGCCATAGATAGGTAGGAGAGGAGGAGGAGGAGGAGGAGGAGGAGGAGGAGGAGGAGGAGGAGGAGGACCTCTCCATCTTCCCTTCTCCTCCCCCGTCCTGCGTATGGTAGTGGTGGTGGAAAATGTGCCCAGCAGGGAGGGCGTCAGCAAGGGAACGAGAGATGACAGAAACATCAGTAAAAACTCGGGGGTCCGCGCGGATTGCTCGGATCCGCGCTGGATCCCCCCTCCCTGGCGCGCGGGGAGCGCGCCAGGGGCGACGACGGAGGCGCCGCCACGGGGGGTCCAGCGCGGATCAGAGAAATCCGCGCGGACCTCCGAGGTTTTGTGCCATTCTTCGTTCCGCCAGTTAGGGCGTTCGGGCCATAGACCAACGTCTCTCGCTTCCAGCGACCCAAGCTTATTCGATAGTCGGGTTTCTGGGTCTCGCCGCTCCTGGACATCAGGAGCTGAGCCTCGCGTTCTCGGCGCATCTCGGCACGGCAAAATTCAACCGCTGGGGATCAGGGGGAGGGAGGCGATGGGGGGGGGGAGGACGAGGAGGAGGAGGAGGAGGAGGAGGAGGACTCTCACCAGTGGATTCCGAATGGGGCCGTCCACGCGGCGCAGCCCAACGAGCGACCCTGCCGAGAGCCACCGCTCGCGGGCCGAGAGGCCCCCGAGCAGCCCAACAGGCAGCCCCCAAGCGGCCGAGAGGCCCCCCAGCAGCCAAGAGGCCCCCAAGCAGCCCCATCGCAGCTCGGAGCCGAGAGGCTCCCAAAACAGCCACCCGACGGGCCAGCACGGGCGCCGCCCCCGGGAGCCACGGGGCGGCACTCCTGGCGCTCCGCAGCCCCTCGGCGCCACACGAGCGCCGCCCATTGCCTTCGCCGCGGCCTGATTCGGCGGGCGAGGCCGGGGGGGGGGAGTGAGTGAGAAGGAGGGGGCTTTCTCAGACGGCTCCGAGGTCCCCGGAACTTCTGAGAAATTGTCTGAGCCTGCTGGAAAGACACGGAACATCGCTCAGAGGGCCGGCAGGCTTCTGAGAGGCCCGGCCGACAACTGAGAAGGCCTTCTCCTTCTCATTCCCCCCCACATTCGCAGACGACTCTTGCCGCGTCCGTCATCTCGAAATCGGGCCCTGTCGCCGCGGGCCCCTGACTCTCCATCACCACCTTCGCCGTCATGTCCAGCAGCTTGGCCTCCGCGGCGCTGCACGGCCTCCGAGCATGCTGCGCCTTCGCGTCTGCTGGGGGCCAGCCGCCGCCTGCCGAGGCACCCGCCCATCAGCGCCAGGTCCAGCTCGCCCACAGCGCACACTCGGCATCCAGCTCCCGCACGACGAGCTCGCGGTCGACGGCCTCCTTCGCGCTGCACTGCGGAGGCCCCGTCTCCTGGAGCCCCGCACCCCACGCTCGCGCGGACGGTAATGGGGGGTGACCTGAGCGGGAGGTGAAGACAAGGGGCCCTACAGGGCCCCTTTGGGGCCCTTCTCTTCACCCCCCACCACTTGGGCCAGCCCCCACTACCACCCGCCCGATTTTTTGGTCTGCGGGTCGGGAGCGGGCCCCTTCCGGTCAATAGCTAAACGGGACGCGGGTAGCCCTAATTGGGAAGACAGGACCACCCGCCCGACACGCGTCGGCCCAGGCTCCGGCGTCCTGGCCTCCTGGGCGGTGACTCTGTCGCCGCCCTCGGGCTGCGGGGCCTCCGCGGTCGGCCCCCCGCCCCCCCTCCTCCCCGAACTCCGGGGGGGGCTCTCCGCCCTCGGCGCGCGGCCGCCGTGTGGCGACCCTCCTCGTCGGCAGCTCAGCACCCCTCGCGGCCGTTGGAGGTCTGGGGAGGAGGAGGGGGAGGAGGGGGAGGAGGGGGAGGAGGAGGAGGAGGAGGAGGAGGAGGAGGAGGAGGAGGAGGAGGAGGAGGAGGGGAGGAGGAGGAGGAGGAGAGGAGGAGGAGGAGGAGGAGGAGGGGGCCCGTCCCGCAGAGGTGCGGCGGCGCGGCGGCGGCGCTCAGGGCCCCAGGGGTCCTGGCCTGCGGTTCCCAGGCGCCCGTGTCGCCGTCCTTCCATGTTGCGGCACCCCCGTGCTCCTCCCACGCACGACCGCCTGGGGCCCAGTCGTGGGCCCGTGGACGCCGCCCTCGACGCCCATCGTCGGCACCACCACGCGCGTCACGATCGCCTGGGTCCTGAGGCCGTGCTCACGCGACTGCGCGAGCAGCGGCGCCTCACAGATCATCTCTTGGTCCACCATCTTCGGCAGGAGCTGCGGGAAGGGTGGGACGCTGGCCAGGGCGGCCTCCTGCCTCGTGCCCTTCTCCACAACCTCCCCGCCGTCCATGCCGTAGCCATGGCTCTCCACGCCGAACGCCACGCCTTCCACGAACAGCGGCGCCTTCTCGATCTTCACGTGCAAGACCTCCTGGGGCACCATCTCCAACAGCGGCATCCTCACGATCTTCTCATTTCTGGCCTCCTGGGCCATCATCGTCGGCACGAGCTGCGGGACGGGTGGGGAGCTGGGCGGGGCGGCATCCCGCCTCATGCCCTTCTCCACCACCTCCCCGCGGTCCATGCCGTAGCCCTCGCCCTCCCCGAAGAATGCCACGCACTTGGCGAACGCTGACACGGCGAGCTTCTTCTCGTCCATCACCGCCTCCAATTTGGCCTCAACGTCGAGCTGGCCATACACGGACTGCGGGCGCGCCTGCACACCACTCTTGCCCGTGGCGCCACGCCAGGGGTCCTCGTCCACGCGTTCGGGGCACGCGCGCAGCGCTTCACCATTGCTCTGCAACAGGGTGTTACGCGGCACTCCGCACCCTCGAGCTGCAAACCTGGCCCCAACTGGGTACACTAATCGCTGGGGCCTGCAAAGGGGCAAAAGCTGGAAAAGGAGCCAGACCCCTTGGGCCCAGGTGGCTTAAGCCGAAGCGGCTTGAGCCAGAATGACTCCAGATGAGGAGGATGAGATAGAGGAGGAGGAGGAGGAGGAGGAGGAGGAGGAGCAGGAGGAGGAGGAGGAGGAGGAGCAAGAGGAGTAGGAGGAGGAGGAGGAGCAGGAGGGGGAGGGGGAGGAGGGGGACTGGAGGCAATATAACTCTGGGGCGCCTTGACTCCGTCAGTGAGCCCAGTTTCGTGGAGTCTCCACCCTGTGGGGCACGGTGGCTCGATGTAGCATACGGCCTGGAGCCGTGAGCAGCGAGCACACGAGGCGACGCGCCGAGTCGAGTCAGGGACAGGCGAGGGCGAATGAGCAAAGAGTGGGACCCACAGTCGCACACGGAAGCGAGGCCAGGCGACACGCGAATGTCCAGCGAAGCCGCACGGCGGCGACAGGCCCGACCTCCTCTAGCCAAGGCCATCCCCTCCTGGCTTCATACGCCCTGGCCCCACCGGGCCAGGACATATCATATTTACCAGCATGGAACATATCCCTATCCCTATGCTGGGCACCTCCTCATCACGATGCCAACCAATCTTAGGGATTCCCTTATTTTTGAGGGCGAATCCATAAGATTGTCATCGCCGCATCGCCTTTTGGCGTGTCAATCTTAGGGATACGTTCGAGGCTGGTAACATAGGAAACCAGGGGGGAAGGCCAATGCCCACCCCGTCGGGAGAAACAAAGCGCAAACGAGCTGTCACAAAAACCAAATTCCGTCATGCGACAACCCTGGCCACTGGCACGCGGGATCCGCGAAAAGGAGCCTGCGGGGCGTTGGGACTGGGGGTGCTTTCGGCGAGTCTTGGGATGACGGCCCGAGGCGAAGGTGTCTCGGTGCCACTTGCGCTGACGGTTATCCTGTATGGCCTCTGTGTCACACTCAGCGAAGAACTGGGACCTCACAGCTCGCTACGAAGAGGAACCCCACGTCGTGCAGCCTATCTCTCCAGCTCTGTACAAGACGTGGCCTCTTGCGGCCTCGGGCGGGACGGGACCATCCGCGGGGAGCACAAGGCCGGGAAGGGCCGCACGAGCCCACCAGGGGCCGAAGGACGAGGGCGCTTCTTCGAGCCACTGCCATCAGCGTCAGTTGCTTCGTTGTGAGCGGCCTGAGGGCGCGACGCGACTCGCACCCTGCGTTTAAACTGCCTCATAAGAGGCTCCGCCACCTCCTCCAAGGGCCTGGCTTAGGACCTGGGCCTGGGATCATGGTGAGGCTGAAGCGGGAGGGGAGGAGGAGGCGGCAGGTCAGCAGGAGGAGCGTCAGCAGCGGCAGGGAGGCTCGGGGTGGCAGAGTCGAAGGAGGATCCGAGAAGGAGGAGGAGGAGTAGGAGGAGGAGGAGGAGGAGGAGGAGGAGGAGGTCCAGGGAGAGAGGAGGGGGAGAAGAGGGCAGACTAAGAATAAAAACAACATGGATCACATTACCCCAGTGCGACCCTACCTAGAAGTTGGAGCCCCTAGGAAAGCAGCATTAGTTGCTATGCTATGCTATGCTATGCTATGCTATGCCATGCTATGCTGCGCTATGCTATGCTATGCTATGCTATGCTATGATATGCTATGACATGCTATGCTGCGCTATTGTTATGCTGTGTTATGCTAAGCTATGATATGTCATGCTGCGCTGTGCTATGCTAAGCTATGATATGCGATGCTAAGCTGCGCTATGATATGCTATGCTATGATATGCTATGTTATGCTATGCCGCGCAATGCTATGCTATGCTATGTTATGGCTGGCTATGTTATGCTATGCTGTGCTATGCTAATGCAGCGCTGCGCTATGCTATGCTATGCTAAGCTAAGCTAAGCTGAGCTAACCCTCTAGGCAGAGCCTAGGTAGGGAACTACATCCATGCTAATGCTATGCTATGCTGCGCTATGCTATGCTATGCTGGGCTATGCTATGATATGCTGTGCTGCGCTATGGTATGCTACGCTATGCTATGCTATGCTGTGCTCTGATATGCTAAAGTTCAGCGAAGCTAAGATGAAGGTAAGCTCAGCTAAGATAA